AGATGTGGATCTAAGGTTCCGAGAGGTGGTGTGTGAGGATAAAAGCTCAGATAGGTAGCTTGGAGCCTGGTTGTTAAGAGCTCTATAGGTCAGGACTAAAACTTTAAACTGTATTCTATGTTCTACCGGGAGCCAGTGGAGGGACTCTAAAACTGGAGTGATGTGAGCTTGTCTGCTGGATTAGGTTAGGAGTCTGGCTGCTGCATTTTGGATGGCCTGAAGGCGTGAGAGGGAGGTTTTGCTCAGACCAGTAAAAAGAGCGTTACAGTAGTCTAAGCGTGATGACACAAAGGCATGGATTATTTTTTCCAGATCCGCAGTAGAAACCAGTTAACGGACTTTTGAAATGTTTCTCAGTTGAAAGAAACAAGAGCGGGAGATGGTTTTGACGTGTGAGTCTAAACTTAAAGCTGGATCAAAAATAACTCCTAGGTTTCTAATGTTGGCCTTGGCTGATGGGCAAAAAGAGGCAATTTCTTGCTCGATTTTTGGCTGAAGTTCCGAGGGTGCAGCGATCAGGGTCTCTGTCTTGTTAGCATTTAAGACAAGAAAGTTGCTGGACAGCCAGTTACTGATCTGGGTCAGGCAGAGTACAAGTGTGGCCAGCCTGTCCAACTGGTGTGGCATAAAGGACATATAGAGCTGAATATCATCAGCGTAGATGTGGTAGGAGATGTCTGGGAAAGACTGAATGATGCCAGCTAGGGGAAGAATGTAGAATGCAAATAGTAGAGGCCCTAGAACTGAACCTTGTGGGACTCCGCATGTTAGAGAGGCAGTATCTGAAGAGAAGGTTTCGGACTTCACTGTGAATGTTCTGTTTGTGAGATAGGAAGAGAGCCAGTCTAGAGCAGAACCTGAAATCCCAGCCAGGGCATTTAACCTGTTTAGTAGAACGTTGTCTACAGTGTCAAAAGCTGCACTGAGGTCGAGCAGGACCATGACAGAGCATTTCCCTGCATCAGCAGCCATCAGGAGGTCATTATGCACCCTTACTAGAGCAGTCTCAGTTGAGTGCTGCTTCAGAAAGCCAGACTGGAAGGGGTCAGAGAACTTTGACTTAGAAAACCAGGATCTGAGTTGGGTTTCAACAACCTTCTCAAGTACTTTGCTGATGAAAGGTAGCTTAGAAATGGGCCTAAAGTTACTGGTGGAACTGGCGTCAAGGTTGGGTTTCTTTAAGAGAGGAGTCACTACTGCATTTTTAAAGTGAGATGGAACACAGCCTTGGCTCAGTGAGTTGTTGATTATAGTCAACAGAGATGGACTGATAGAGGCAAGGGACCCGACTAAAACAGAGGGAGTTAAGATATCTGATGAGCATGATGAGAGTTTCATCTGAATGATTATTGAGGTTAAGTCTTCTTCGTCTTCGTCTTCCTCCGCTTATCCGGGTACGGGTCGCGGGGGCAGCATCCCAATTGAGAGGGTGCTCGCTGCAGAACCACAAAGGCGGAGCTGCACCATAAGGTGGAGCTGCACCAGGGTCAGCCCCGCCCATTCACGCAAACTCAGCCTAGCCCACTGACTTCCGTTTTTGTTTTCCAACTTCATCGCAAACTAACCTGACCCACATGAATTATGGCTGTTACTACTTTACAAATGTTAATGCTATGTTCTATGCTCCAATTAAACAAGATAAATATAACTTGCTACATGACAAAGCCTGAATACATCTTGAAATGAAACGATTTCTTCTAGCAGATATCTGCCCACAGCCGCTCTAACAATAATGTGGTGCAACAGCATGGGTGATTGTCATATGTGCTCTGGTAGTCCAGTGGTAAGATCATCTTAAGCAAATTTTGCTTCCCCCTCAGCAGATGCTGGTTCGATTCTCAGTGAGGTCGGCATCAATCTATTTAGCCGAGAGGGTGCTCGCTGCAGAACCACAAAGGCGGAGCTGCACCATAAGGTGGAGCTGCACCAGGGTCAGCCCCGCCCATTCACGCAAACTCAGCCTAGCCCACTGACTTCCGTTTTTGTTTTCCAACTTCATCGCAAACTAACCTGACCCACATGAATTATGGCTGTTACTACTTTACAAATGTTAATGCTATGTTCTATGCTCCAATTAAACAAGATAAATATAACTTGCTACATGACAAAGCCTGAATACATCTTGAAATGAAACGATTTCTTTTAGCAGATATCTGCCCACAGCCGCTCTAACAATAATGTGGTGCAACAGCATGGGTGATTGTCATATGTGCTCTGGTAGTCCAGTGGTAAGATCATCTGAAGAAAATTTTGCTTCCCCCTCAGCAGATGCTGGTTCGATTCTCGGTGAGGTCGGCATCAATCTATTTAGCCAGCTGAAACATTGAATTCGTTTATATTTTAGTTGTAATGTTTATTTTCAGCAAAATATTTATGTCTCTAAAAGTTCTTTGAATTTGGTCGTTCCTAAACAGCATTTTAGTTGAAACTCTGCTCACAAATGGACTCACAATGGCTAAATAAACGAATAAATAAATAAACACATTAGTCATTATATTGTAAACGGTATACCAGTAAATTGTTGTAAACAGTACTGGCAAGTGTAGCTAGAAATTAAGAAAAGGAGTTGTAATCTACCTAAGATTTCTGCCACTGGGAGTCGAACCTGCGCAAAACTGCATGCAAACCTGCCTCCATAGCCTCTACCCCACCACATCTGATATGAAGTAAGTGGCGTTACATGTAATTGTCCTATCCAGTGTGTCTTTGGAGATGGGATGTATGGTTTATTGGCGGTGTCTCAGTAGAAGTCATTTCAGAAATAATTTGTCAGAAAATTCACAGAATATCCAGATTTGAGAACCAAGACCAGACCCACTTCAGGGGAGGAGACCAAATTGAAGCTGAGATGGGAGGAAAATGCATGAATGAGGCCAAAAATGGCTTTGGCGTGTTTCTTATGAGGAAATGACAATATAACATGATAAAAAGTTCCAAAAGTTAGATTTTTAATTATATGGAACCTTTACAAAAACTGTTCAGTTAACTTCTCACCTCCGTCCTCAATCTTGTATTTTTTAGCTATAAAACCCTCTTTGGTTCCAGAATGCTATCGAGTCTGACAACTGGAAGGAATTGTACTGACTCTGATGGAATGGACGGGGCTGACTCTGGAATGGGCGGGGCTGACCCTGGTGCAGCTCCACCTTCTGGTGCAGCTCCACCTTTGTGGTTCTGCAGCGAGCACCACTTGATTTAGCCAGCTGAAACATTGAATTTGTTTATATTTTAGTTGTAATGTTTATTTTCAGCAAAATATTTATGTCTCTAAAAGTTCTTTGAATTTGGTCGTTCCTAAACAGCATTTTAGTTGAAACTCTGCTCACAAATGGACTCACAATGGCTAAATAAACGAATAAATAAATAAACACATTAGTCATTATATTGTAAACGGTATACCAGTAAATTGTTGTAAACAGTACTGGCAAGTGTAGCTAGAAATTAAGAAAAGGGGTTGTAATCTACCTAAGATTTCTGCCACTGGGAGTCGAACCTGCGCAAAACTGCATGCAAACCTGCCTCCATAGCCTCTACTCCACCACATCTGATATGAAGTAAGTGGCGTTACATGTAATTGTCCTATCCAGTGTGTCTTTGGAGATGGGATGTATGGTTTATTGGCGGTGTCTCAGTAGAAGTCATTTCAGAAATAATTTGTCAGAAAATTCACAGAATATCCAGATTTGAGAACCAAGACCAGACCCACTTCAGGGGAGGAGACCAAATTGAAGCTGAGATGGGAGGAAAATGCATGAATGAGGCCAAAAATGGAAAACAACAAACAAAAACAGAAAGCAAAGAACAACCCAAAAAAAGAACCAGAAACCCAGAAAGACAAGAACCAAAACCAGTGATAACCCTACCATACATCAGAGGCATAACGGAAAAAATAAGAGCAACAATGAAAAAACACAACATAAACACACCAACAAAGCCATACACAACAGTTAGAAACAGATTAGTACACCCAAAAGACAAAATATCAGCTGGACAAAAATGTGGAGTCATCTACGAAATCCCATGCAAAATATGCAATAAAACATACATAGGAGAAACCGGACGCCAACTCAATACACGGACAATAGAACACAGAAAGGAGTGCGAGAAAGAGGCAAATCGTAAACACACAAGAGCAGAAAAATAAGAAGCAGAAAGTACAATAAAAAAGTCAGCCGTAACAGATCATTGCTTAAGAGAAAACCATATAATGGACTGGGACAGCACACGGATCATAACCACTGAACAACAAAAATACAAAAGATGGATCAAGGAAGCAATAGAGATAAGGAGACGTGGATGTGGGACCATGAACAGGGACGACGGAGTTTACACGCTGGACCACGCATGGGACTGCATCGTCGGAGAGGGGAGAGCGGGCAGTAGAGGGCGACAACGTCCTCTGCTGCCCGCAGATAAACGGAGAAGGAAGTGACGCGCCACCATCAGCGTCAGCCTGAAGAAGCCGGCAGCTGTCGTCGAAACCGTAGCTACAAACAGGTAAACAAAACTGTTTCTGTGTTTAAAAAAGAACGAAAGCATGCACACACTTTTTAGTTTGCAACGGCACCAAAACTTTGAAGCTGAAATAATGGCCGAAGGAGGAGACGGCAGCGCCCAGGACATCCATCAGCCCTCAAAGAAGACTAAATCGGAAGTATGGGCATATTTGGGATTTCTGAAAAACGCTGAGGGACAGTTAATAGAAGACGGCTATCCCGTTTGCAGAACGTGCAGGAAACAAGTGTCTGCAAAAGGTAACACTTCGAATCTAATGGCACATCTGCGTGACCATCATCCACGTCTCTACAGCCAGTGCAAGGTAAGTTAAAGAGCAAGTAACGTCTAAATTAACTTTTTTTTGCTGATGAACTGTATAAATGAGTGTCTAATAGTGTTTTAAATGTGTGCATTCTTTATTTTAGCATTTTGGTGCATTTTCTTTAAAAATTAAAAATTCTGTCTAAAAACCACAGTAATGCGCCACCTTCAGCTGAAAACATAGAATTTTTGTCATTTTGAATAAATTTTAGCCAATGGCTAAAGAGTAAAGTACTACGTAAACCAGTAGAGTACTACGTAGCAGCTCCGTGCCAAAGTTATAAAAGCAACGAGCGTCTCGGCCACGCCCTGTGGCGAGTGGGAGTTGGATTTGCAAGCGAGCATAGGAGGTCAGCGGTAGTTCAGCATTAGCATATAGCATTAGCATATCCTAGTCTTAGCATATCTTTTAGTGTTATAAATACTTATTTAGTGTTAGATTTGGCTGTTGGATATTGTAGTTGAGTTAGTGTTTGGCTGTTAGTGTAATTGGGAAAGTATTTCTGGTTTAGTGTTCCATATCGTCTTAGTATTGGTGAGTAGGTGTAGTGTAGTATGCTTGCGGTGACTCTGTGGGCATTTTACCCGCGATTCTGCGCGCCTCCGTTTGAAGAGGGAGGCTGCCCACCGTGGCTCTTCCGCGATTTAGATGCAGCCCACCGACTCTGCTCCCCCACCACGGCGGGCTCCAGTCTGAGGTGAGTCAGCTAAATAAACGTTTTAACATCTTCTAAAGACAATTCCCTACCTAAATGCAAAGTCTGAGAGACGTGGTTCACTTCCTTTAGCTAGTCAGTCGGCAATTCTGCAACAGTGTCTCTAACTAACGCTGCACTAGTTGACAGACAGCATTACAGCGTGAAATCCAGCTTGTGAACAGGTTCTGTAAGGAATTCTGTTCAGGAGGTCGCATTTCAGGCTCTCCACATCATATGTGATGGACTTTTACGTTATAACAACGATCACACACTAGGAATGTTATAAAGCGCCTATATAGGAGATTCTTTTATATATTATCTGACTTTATAAACTCCAACAACAATGTGCTTCTATTTTTTTTTTCAGGCTAAATCTACCCAAGACACTGGCTGTCAGACTGATTTAGCTGCATGAATGTACTTGTCCAGGCTGATGTGAAACCTTCCCTGTAGCAAAGGTGAATTATTTTTAATAATCTTCTATGTAAACATTTTATTATCACCTTCTAGTTTTAATTTGTTTTACAGATTATTTTTACACGTGATTTTATGCTCTTTTAAACATTTATAAATGTGCTGCTTCTTTGTTTTTACATAGCCATCCAGTTTAGAGCTCACAGCCGCAGTGTGTCTGGTGACCCACAGGGACCATGATGAAAATTCATCTTCCAGAAGGTCCCAGAGCGTCCAGACCCCCTGAAAAGACCAAGATGTGAGGTGTCTGCTGTTGATTCCAGCTTCCACCTCAGTGACAGTGCAAGCTCAGTGAACTGTTCAAGGTTAAAAAAAAAATTAAAACATTTCAGAATTTTTAAGATATTAACAATTAAATAAGTATGTGATTACATCATGAAGGAGGCTACTGATTCTGCCCCTGTGACACTTGGTGGTGACGTGTGAGCTGATTCTCCTGGAAAATAACTTTTACATTAAATATTTTGTTTTTGCTATCAAAAGTAAATTAACTAATAACATGCATTATTGCAGGACACTCAGCAAAATATAGACTCTACACCATGAGGCATGCACACATTAATATTCTATAAGAGCACATAAGGTGAGCAACACCACATATTGTACACTGTCCTGAATTTGTTTTCTTTCTGCATCTCATTAGCCTGGCTGATCACCTGATAACCCCTGTCATCTGGTTATGACAGCATGAGGATGTCCTCACACACCTGTAACCTATCAGCTCATCCTGCTGAATAGAGAGAGAAGAGACCACACCACATCTCCTGTTCCTGGAAAGCCTTCAGCCATCCTTCGATGACTGAGAACCTCCATCAGCTCTGTCTCCTGTCTGCCTACAATTATAATAAATATTGTGTTTGACAAGTTTTTTGTGCTGCCAAATATCTCATTTAGATTCGTTTTGATATTTTAATGGATATTTATAAATTACATTGAATATCACATTTTTGTTGCATGTTTAACTAGCTCTATTGTGATTAATTAAGCTAGCACCTCACTGTTAAAAGCTCGTTCTAATTTCAAGCATGTTTAAGTATTTATGGACATGAACAAAAACAGGAAATATATAAATTGAGATTTATTTAATTAATATAACAAATAAGGGGGAAAGAGTCATTGAAAGGCACGTTCTTCTGAAAGTTCCTGATCCTGATGACACCAGCAGAGGAGACCAGCTGCAGACACCAGAGACCAGCTGCAGACACCAGAGGACCTAGAACCAAGAGAGCAGCTGTTATCAGTAAATAAATAAAGAAATCAGGGCAGTTTTAGTGGGCTGAACACATTACAGAATAATTTTCTCATGGGGTATTTTCATAACTTTATATGCAGCAGAATGTAACTTGAGCCCAGAGCTACCGGAGAGCTGCTATCCAGCACGTTTCAGTGGTTTTCCTGCTTTAACAGGTTAGATTAACTGTTAAGCAGCTCAGCTATTTGTTGCTGATTAAAACCAGGTGTGCTGAAGCAGATAAACCTCTAAAACATGCTGAATACTAGCTTTTTAGGGCCGTGGAGACAAACCCTGCAGCTAATCCAATGCTATGTCTAACGGCTACTTACCTTTCAGAGGTGATTCTGTTGGGTCGGTTCTGGGAGTTTCAGGCAACTCACAAGCTCAAAACAATAAGACTCAGGTCCGCTTGTCTCCTCCAAATAGACTTGGTCCCTTTCTTCTCGAGTGTCTGTGTAAGGAGGGGGAGAAACGTCCTCCACTTCTAATAACTGCTCAGAGTGAAGGGAGCTAGCTTCGTCTAGTTAGCCATCGTCTTCGTCACTGCCGCGGCTCCGCCCTCTCGGTCCTCCAGGCAACGCCTACTAATGTTGCATTTTTTAAAATTGATACGTGGGTGGAGAAGGACTCCGAGGCTCAATTGACCCGCTCTTTAACATTAGCATTTTAGCTTAAATGCATGACGTGAGGACTTTTGGTTGACGGAGAATGCAACGAGTCACTATATCCTGCAGCCGCAGCGCCCTCTGCCAGCATTTAAACCGTGTCACGGACACCCTGTTGCTGGATGAAGCATCTTATTTGTTGATGATGAAGAGAAATATACAATTAGTTCCTTGTCATTGATTTGTTTACTTATTCGATGCCATTTATACTTGAACGTTTGGATTTGATTACATAGTGTAGTAGTTATTTTAGTAATTTTATTTAAAGTGGCTATTTATTTTAAATACATATTTTTTAAGGTTGACTTGTACAGTGCTCAAGTCAAGTGTGGACTGGAGTTTTAGATTTTCATTTTGATAATGAAGAAAACAAGTATATGAGAAAACAAGTGGTGTTTCTTTGATTTGTTTACATATTGTTTATGTTTTGAATGTTTGGATTTGTATAATTTAAACCTGCACTGACTACTGTAACATGTTCCAGAAAAATAAGCTATTTGTTCCTTTACTTGTGAAAAGTTGCACTTTTGCTAAGGCTTTGTGTTATTTTAGGTTTAATAAACACTGTTAAACCTTTTCAAAACTATTTCAGTTTGTGTAGAACAGGACTATCAATGCTTTCTGAACATATGCAACACCGTTTAAAAAATACCGCGATAATACCGAAAACCGTGATAATTTTGGTCACAATAACCGTGAGGTTAAATTTTCATACCGTGACAACCCTACTTCCCACAGCCTGCCATCTCGCCAAACACGCTCGTCCGCTAGCTAGTGGCTAAATCAGCGTTGTTTACTTTATCTCCACAACACTTTACTAAAGGCGATGTTGTTCTCCACTCGTTACAGAGACGCTCTGACTCAGAGGGCTTCTTCTCAAACGTTAGACTTTGGTTGTATGACTCCTTTTGCTGGTAATCCGTGGGAGTTTATCTACAGCACTCACAGCGTCTCCCCGGCTCTAGCCATGGCTAAATAGTAGCTCGGTAGCTTGTGACACCGATCTCCACCACACCAGCCGTGAGCCCCGATTAGCTGGTGGATAAGTCAACATTGTTTACTTAATCTCCAGCATGTCCCTGGCTCGCCTGTGATCGCTCCACATCCATATAACCTGGTAGCGGCAGCCAGTTTGCTTACATCGAGGCGCCGTGACCCACGTGAAACGGGTGTTGTAGGAAATTATGTTGCCCTGAAATATTCTGTTTCCCTTAGGCAGTCAAGAGCAAATATTTCCAAATCTACAGAACCTACTGTCCATTATGAGGACTAAACTACCTCAAATAAAAGATGGTTAAACTGAGTGAGATTTCATCTTTTTACATAACTTTCAAAAATGATTAATAAACGTGCTGCAAAAGAGTGAACAAGAACGTTTTTACTGTATCGTTTTTATTGTTTTTAGGAGGAAATATAGATAAAAAATCACAATTGTTATATTACATTACATCATTTTCCCGTAAAAGTTGATCACAGATATTGTGAAAATAGCCAGAAGTGCGATCTCCTCACACGGGGGACAGAATATTTCAGGGGAACACAATTACTCACAACACCTGACCTCCCGGCTGACGTCACCCCTCCTCCATGTGTGAATCATAACAGCTTCAAGATCTAACAGAACTAGCTTGCTTCCTTCAGAACTGGTAGGTTGATAAAACAGTCATGATTATAAATGTGTTTTTAAGTGGTAGAGTAGCTTGTTTTAAGCTTCGTGTGGGTTAGGCTAGACAGGTTGGAAATTGGTTATACAGTCAAACTCGAGTGAGCCACCGTAGCTGCAATAATTTCTCTGAACTGCATGGCGCTAAAGAGTCACATTTTTATCACGATTTCAATGGATTTCACACGCGGGGCCTTTAAGCAGACCCTCAGAGCTGTTGATGGTCCCTGACTGCTGATGTGTGGACCAGCCTTGCTACAGAGGCGTACCTTGGTGCGTCCTGCCATTTCCTGAGTTAAGATTGGAAGATGAAGCGCTTCAACCTTGCCACCATGCTCTTGGGAACACAAGTCATTTTTGTGTACAATTTATTTTTGGTTTTAGGTGCCTACCTCCATCTGACTGTAGCATTTGTATTGACAGCTTATAATGTTAATTAAAAGTGGTTTGATAAGCTATCATCTTGTCTTTATTATTAGAAAGCACATAGATGATCACATTTCCTACTAGAAGCTAATGATGGGTGTATTAGAGCATCCTGGTGCAATAAGCTATACTTTTATGAATGACACGATTAATTGGCTACTAAAATAGTCATTTGTGGAAGCCCTAAAGATGTTGCAGTGAGAAGAGGTGGAGAAAAAAAAATCAAAATACCAAAAATAAAATGGCCAGGGGAGCAAGTAAAATATTTTCTACTATTTTTTAAATATTTTTCAATAATTATCTATATTGATCAATATATTTAAAAAATTATCAATATACTTTTTTTATATATTGTCCAGCCCTACTACCAACTAACTTCTCTAAAAAAATGTATTGCACGAAAAGCGGGTATACTGAATATTGTTAATTGCTCCTTAAAGAGCAAGTCACCCCCAAATAAACATTTTTTTTGCTGATAAACTAAATAAATGAGTGTCTAATTGTGCTGCAGACACATGTCGTCAATAATTTGGCACTTCAGTGCATCTTAGTTAAAATTTAAATATTCTGCCTAAAACTGGCAGTGTTGTGCCGTTGTCAGGTAAAAACTCTGCACTGTATTTTAATTTAAATCTGCCACCGCTATTGGCTAAGAAGTATGCTATGATGTAAACTGGTACATTATGATGTCACAATGCTGTCGTGAGCCTGAGTGTGTGTGTATTTGTTAGCGGCTCCGCCCTCTCGGTCTGCCAGGCAACAGCATGTGTTGCATTTTTCAAACATGAAGTGGGAGTGGAGTTAGACTCTGGTAGGGATTGACTTGCTCTTTAATGTCAGGCATTTGTCTTAATTTGCTGAAAACTGCTGCTGTTAAGCCTCTTCTGAAGAAAAGTAGACTAGATCCCTTAATGATGAATAACTACAGACCAATTTCTAATCTGCCCTTGGGAAAACTATTGAAAATGCATTTATGACCAGGCTGAACGACTTCTTGGAAACGAACAACCTCCTGGATGGTTTTCAGGCTTTTGACAACACCACAGCACAGAGACTTTAACAGTTTCTACCATATGAGTGAATCTTTTTAGCCACATTTTAAGGTTTAATAAACATAGTTTTTCCAAAACACACCACTGTTACTCTCTTTTACAAGTTTACAACTATGGAATAAGCACTCCCTCGAGGTCATAGCTGTAATGAACTTTGCTTTTTCCTAATAATAACGCAACAGGCATAATTGGCCTATTTAACTGTTAAAAGCCAGTTTTACCCTTGGCCAGACGTTTGTTTAAAATAGCAAGCACGGTACTCACAACAAACACGTTGTAAACTAGTCGCTAGCATAGCTGCTAATAAACTGCAACCTTCTCAAGAACTTTTATGGAAAGAAAACTGTCTTTACTCACGGGAAGTTTTGGGTCGCCGTGCGTAAAATGAACGTATTAATATCTTAGAATCGAACGTATCAGCTGTTGTCCAAATTATCCAAATTAGCAGCGCACCGCTGGTTTGGCCGTTGGTCTGGAACAGCACGCCGGGAGTGTGGCGCGCGCGTGGCCGTCTGGGGCTGCTTTCAGGGCCCTTTGGAAACTACAAAAAATAATACACAGTTCTTAAAAAAAGATAAATTTCGCGCTGTGGTAGCTGCAAACGAATCGTTTTATTGTCACCCATGGCATTTTTTGTCTAATATAAACCCCTAATTTACTTCTTATTAGGTAATTGATTTGTAAAACCGGCAAATTACTTAATGATACAATAATACAAACTAATAAATACATAATAACACAAAAACTGAATTCGAAGAAAGTACATTGTTCTATTTTCCTGTACTAATGTGTTTCCATGAGGTTATAATACATGCTGTGGCAGTCTGCTATATATGGTGGTGATTTGGGAATTTTGATGAAACTACACACAGAACTGATGTGACACATAAGAGGTTGCCTTCAAATCAGTTTCGTTAGCATGGATGGATTAAATCAATTGGATTATTCCAAGGGAGATTAGAAATGCACTGTGTGTAAATACTGGATAAACTGGATGAAGCTGTCAAAAATGGGTTTACTTGCAGATCTTTGCTGCTACCCTGTGGCTGCAAAGTGGATTAACACCTAATCTTCCAACTCGTCAGTTATTAGGAATTAAATAAAACCAGAGAACAACATTAAATCTTGATAAAGTATCTTTTAAACATTTAGTTAAACTACAACAGTAAATGTTAAATAAGCAAAGGTTAGCAAATTTGTGACCAGCTAAACATGGAGTGGTAAATCTTTTCAAACTTCTCCTGAAAAGCACGGTGGACACAGCTGACTTGGTCTTGACAGTTTCATCAAAATAATTTGAAGTGACATATTGCCTAAAAGTTCATTTTTAATGGCTTCTGTTCTTTTAAATGCTTTTAGTCACTATTACGTGTAACTAATCATTTAGATTTGTTGTCCGTGACGTTTATCCGTAATATATAGTTGTGTTTTTAATTCAAAACAAAACAAAATATGAGAAATAAAAGCATATATTGAATTCCGCGTGCTTCTGTGACAGAAAGGATGTGCATTGGAAAGATGTGCATTGCGTTTTAAGCTGACATCGCGGACATTCCCGCGGCTCGTGAACGCAGCACAAGGGGCACCACTGCCAGTAGAAGGAGCTCTTCCTGAGTTATTTCTAATCTAGCAGTTAGATATAACATGGCGAGAACACAAGCAGGAAAGATGCTGCGCTCTCCTCGATGTTTCTTATATTTGTTGGTGTTCGTGCTTTCTGGAGTAAACGCGTCGACCCTTCATGTCCACCCGGAGCAGCGAGTGCTCCCGCAAAGCAGAGGCATTTTCACCATTGAGGCAAATAAGGATTTATCAGTCGGAGATGGAGGAGGCGTCGCGGCTGCAGCGCTGCCTCTGGCCGCTCGCGATGCCTCTCAGGGCGGCGCGTCGGGCTCCAGCGCCCACCCAGAGCATCGAAGCCGCCGGAGCACTGGTAAATCGGCCATGCCAAATGTGTACGGCCAGGTAACGTCCTGCATCATTAATGCTCTTTGTTTTTAATCTGAGCACCGTGCATCACCTCAGAATGACCTTAGTGCAGGGTGTCTGGTGGGAATTTCTCAAACCACCGCAGTTTGTTTCCAAGTCACATTATTTCTTGCACCTTACCCCCGGTAGCCCGAGTCAGCGTGCGGGCTCTGTGCGTGGGCAAGAGCGATGCGCTTCAGCGCGGTTTAATAGCGACATATGCAGGAAGCACCGGGTCAGTCGTTCCACCTGGGTGTTTACCAAAACACGAATGTCTGCAGCTCCTCCAGCTGGTGCAGCGCCTCTGTAAAAGTTCTCCTTGGAAAACCAGAAAGCCACCCAGACTCCAAAACACTAAAAGGCTGAGAGTTTTCTGTCAGAGGTGTGAATTAATGATAAAGAAAAAAAAATACAGTTAAAGGCATGGCAGACTTCAGGCTGGCTAATGCTAGGTGTTTTACCTGCTCTTTCCAGAAGATACCATAAGACATGAAAGACATGGTTCTCTGAAACGTCCTCAGCTTCTGCTGGTTTAGGTTCAAACTAAACTGCATTTACACTCGTGCTTCCTTTAAACAGAACCTTTAAGTACCTAATCAAAATGTTTGAGTAGCAGAACCTCTTTAAGTTTATTTTTCAGGACTGTGAAGTATTTTGATGTAAATACTAGGACATTCTGGCGATACGATGCGTATCACGATACGGGGGAGATGATACAATACATCACGATATATTGTGATGCATTCAGTCAGACAATATCAGTGATTGTTTTAGACTGACTTCATTGTAGGAAAATTCAACCAACAGTCCAAACTGATACTTAACATGTTTACCATGAGGTATCTGAACCATAATAGAGGGATTTACATTTCAGTGGTGGAAACAAAACCCATTTCACACTGCTAGCAGCTGGTGTTTGAATTGCACCAAAAGAAAAGAAAATACACAAATGTTTGCATTTAACTTCTCCCAAAAATTCAATACACAGCTTTTGAATATCGATATAATATTGCAAAGGGGAAAAAATCACATTATATTGCCATCAATATTTTCTTACATCCCTAGTAAACTCTCTGAAATGTGCCATTAGGAATGAGGATTTCCTCATTCCTGTTTCTGATACGTTCTCCCAGACTCTTCTAGGCATTTGTGAAAACATATGTTCTCTTATGATTTTTACCTTTGTTTTCTCTGTTTAGGAGCCTCTTAGAGTATTGATCTGGACTCTTAAGTCCAGAGCTCCTAATTAAACATTGAATACAGTATTAACTTGCTGCAGATTGATGGAAACAATTCTCATTCTCCTCTAGTAATCAGTGGGAAGTGGTGCTCTTTGTAAAGGAGTCCAGTGCTAGTTTACAGATCTGGTATATAAATATTGGTTATGAAGCAGCCTGTAGTGCTTGCTCTGCATTATTACCCAGTATAAAGTAGGGATGCACCGATACGATGTGTGGCCCGCGGGCCGTAAAATGCCCAGGTTTGCTGTAGAGAGAACCCAAAGATGTGGTTAAGGCACACACATCCAAACCACTAGTCACATTGATAATGCAAGTGTATTCTGGAGCCCAGGCTATTTCCTGGTAGTGAGGCTGTTCCTCGTGTTCAAGAGTCAATGGGAAAAGGGAGGGGACTCTGATTAAACAAAACACGAGAGCTGGGTGATTACCAATACTAATAATGATAAACTTTCGTCAGAACCGTAGAAAATCACAAGTCAGGAGGAAGACCTCAGTGAACACAGAAGCATCTTTTAAATGGATTCAATATTCTCATCCATCCATGACGATCCAAGTACAGGCTTAGGATCACACACACCAACGCCAGGTTCTGGTTGCAGGTCAGGGACAGGTCTCCTCCCAGTTCGGCTCGACTCAGCTGCTCATAGCTCTCAGTCGGGCTCCTCTGGATCCGTCCAGCATGAGTTTTACACGATCCCCATCAGTTCTCCGCCCGCTCCTTGGCCGATCCCTCTCCAGCAGGCAGCTGAACTTTAACAGTTTTCTCAGGCTCAGTCGTCCTCCATCTCTCGGCCTTTTAATGGCTCGGTGTTCATCCACGCCTCCGACTTTCGCAGTCTCTCACTCCTCAGTTTTTTGTTTTTCCCCCTCTACCTGGTGCGTCTGTGAGTTCCCTCTTTACTGCATCCGCATCAGTGGAATGTGAAGCACCTGTGCGTTCCCACTGGTGTGGGTGGAGCCACCAGGACTCCAAACCAGCTCTAAGCTGGCCAAAGGGCCGCCAACCGTAACAGCGTCCGTCACCTGATAAGCAGGAAAAAGGATGTCAATAAATGGGCCATATGTTTCCGCCTTCCCATATCAAGAGGTTCTGGGAATATTGTTGTAGAAGCCCAGAAAAATACTCGGCAGGGACTTTGTGGATGCTGCTCATCATTCAAACAATTATTCAGTATGACAGTTTTGACTGTCTGTCTGGGGTGTAACAGTACATGCAACCATCCATTATTGGTTTGTACTAGGGTTGTCACGGTAACTGGTGTAGCGGTAAACCCCGGTAAAAAAGTTGACAATAATAATAACCGTCTTGCTAGCTCTGATATCCACAATGAGAGGAACTATGTTTCATCTAATTATGGTACATGGGTTGTTGTCCTTGTCCCTACCAGAATCAGCAGTTGATGATATGTCAGCAGGTGTCCCCTCACAACCCAATGAACCTCAAGAAGGTGAGCAATGTAGCATGTTAGCTAGCTGCCTCACTTAAGGGGGTCTGTGGGAATCACTTAAGGCTCTCTTCTCTATCAGTACTATTACAAAGGAATATAAAGTCTATTTTTGGTGATAAACACATTGTTTTTCCACATAATGATAATTATATATATCAATCAGTAAAAGTGTATAGACTGTTTTTGATGCTGGGTAGGTTGAAGCATATTTAGTCTGTTAATGTAACATAAATTACTGTGAGATTATTACTGTGAAGCGCCTTGTTGAAGGCACCATACAAGAAAAAAAACCTCTTCATCTACTAAATACCTTGAAATGAAATGTTTTGAATCTGACTGAATTATGGGAGGTTTTACAAGATGTAAGTAAGTAAGTAAAAGTTTATTTATATAGTGCCTTTCACAGATATAAATCACAATGTAATTTGTTTATGTAGCTTTTAGAACACAAACCAAAAATCAGCAATTTCCAAATAATTCATCAGAGAGCAAAAATGAAACAAAAGCTATTAATAATTGTAATAATTAAACTTAATATAACATTGAACACAATAAAATATGAAATCTAGTATTGATCGTTATCGAGCATTATTAATTATATCACTGTAAATAATAAATCTTGCTGTGTACAATCAAGGCTGAATGTATTTTTAGCTATTTTTTTGTTGTTGAGAAAAATGGGTTTCTAGAGACTTATATACGTATTCATTCAAAGTTATCCAACTTTAAAATTTTATGTAACCCTAACTGACTCCGGTTTGAACTGTGTGCATATTCATTTTGTGTCTATGATGAAGACATGGAGACTTAATAAAGAAGTCACCTTGTGAGCAGTGAATCCTTAATTTTTTTCAGTCATACTGAAATACTTGATTTCAAGAGGAAAGACAGCTGAAAATGTAGTTATGTAAAGCTTTGACACAACATGGAAATTTAATTAGATATCCAAATTTGAATTTTACCATCAAATAAAATTTTAGAAAAAATTAAACACATTTTAAGGGAGTAATAGGGAAAAGGAGATTAACAACTTTCAGCATGTGCATTTCCTGCTTTTTCCAGCAGTGATATTGCTAATTCTGTTGAAGGAAATTCACTGTTTAATGAGAGACAGCTGGTGAAAATGATATGTAAATAAGTAAGAATGCATGTAGACCTACATAATGAAGCAAAACTGAAACACTAACATAAAGTATATATATTATATTTTTTTCTCCCTTCGAATCTGGGAGGGTAGAACCCCAACTCCGGCTATGGATGAGCCCCCAGGGGGCCCAACTTGATATTTTTTCATGGGGCCCAAAATCTCTGGCAGCCCCCCTGCTTACCAGCCACTGTATCATCTGCTGAAGTTGCTGGCGGCACATGCACACTTTGTTGTTTACAACCAAAACTTTCTTGAAGCTAAAGCTGAAATAATAGCCAAAGGAGGAGATGGCAGTGCTCAGGACATTTATTATCCCTCAAAGAAGACAAAGTTGGAAGTATGGGCATTTTTTGGATATTTGAAGACTGCCGAGGGACAGCTGATAGAAGACGGCTATCCTGTTTGCAGCACGTGCAGAAAAAGTGTCTGTGAAAGGCGGCAACGCTTCAAATCTCATGACACATCTGCGTTGCGTGACCATCACCCACAACTCTGCAGTCAACGCAAGGCAAGTTAGCGTTTTAGCTAAAATGCGTGATCCGAGGATTTGGGTTGAGGGAGAATGCAACGAGTCGCTATATAAAGCAGCCGCAGCACCGCTACCTGCATATAAACCGTGTCGCGGACACCCCCATGTTGAAATGACGCTATGCATTACGGGGATCCCAGGGGCAGATAAGAGTTGGTCTCTCCCAGAGAATAATTATGAATTTAACAATGAATACTGCCTGATGACATTTTCCCACATCTGCAAAGCTCACTGGAAGGACACAAACCGAGGACAATATTTTCCTGATATAGGGTTTATTACTCAAGTAAGGGTAAAAAAAGTATCTGATTAGAAGGGTACTTGAGTACTGAGTATCATCTGATCTAATATTTTTTAAAATAATGACATCAAACAGACAAAAAATAAAAAGTTATGGGCAATTATTGGTATTTTAAAGACTAAAGCGGAAATATGTAAACAAATAAACAACATAATTACAAAATAACAAATTTTAGGCAAAATTTAGACAAACTGAGGACAAGATTTTCCTTATTTACAGGGTTTACTTAATTGTCTGAAAATGTAACACGTTTAAAAAAATACCACGATAATACCGAAAAATTTTGGTCACAATAACCGTGAGGCTAAATTTTCACACCGTGACAACCCTA